CACTTGGTGAGGATCATCCTGAAATGTCTAATGTTGATGTAAGTATTGTTTTATCAATGTTCTCTAGTTTCATCATACACATGTACATGTATTGTTTAAAAGTATTGTAAATTTTGTATCATAACTGTTATTATTTATTTTAATTACATTGAGTAGTTTTACATTGGTTTACTACTGAGTAATGCTGGTCATTATGAAGAAAGTCAGGCATATCTGGAAAGTGCTCGTAGATTACAAAACAAGTGAGCTAGTATATACAAATCAAGAGAATTAAGGCTGGCTATGTTTGTTCTTGTATCTGTTCATTAGGTTTCATGGAAGTCAATCAATTACTGTAGCCACAATGTTAGTAATGATAAGATACATGTACATGTACATCTTATCTTATCGTTTTCTCATTGTTTTGGCTCCTCCTTCCCTTCCCCCTCTCTCTTTCCCTCTCTCTCCATCCCTCTTTCTCTACCTCCCTCCCTCTCTTCTCTAGTCATCATCTTCTTGCCAACTCATTGACTCACATTAGAGCATTTGCTGAAGCTAAGCAAAATAAGAGAAAAGCATACAATATCTATAGGACTAAAGTATGCAGTAATGTTAATGCCAGGCCATCTAGGTTTCTTAACTGTTTTCTCTCACAATTAGTTTGGCCCAGATCATGCACGTACTGTTCAGTCTTTTAAAAAACATGAGGTATATCACTGAGAAGCAAGTCTCTTATGAGCAGACTGTAAGTGTATTTGGCTAACTATTGCCAATGGTTAATTACCAAAATTATCTTGTTCATATGTTGTCTTCATAAATTATAAATAATTATTGTTTCGAAAAAGAAAAAATTAATAGCAATGCCAAGTGTAACTATTTGTAAACACCCAAATTCACACATGATGCGAATATCAGTAGCCTGAGCTAATTATTGTAAACACTTGATCTTTGTATATAGTTATACATACTACTGTATCAGATATTACAGGTACCAATATTGCACACTCAAAAATTTATGTTAATGCCGTCACCATAGTATGAAATTAATGTGGTAGAAATTTAGGTTTCAAAATTTTGTGATCTAATTTTTACGTAGTAAAATTATTGAATATGGCATGTAATTTTATGTGTGATATAAATTAAAGGACAAAGCTGACTATGGCATGGTACAG